TGAAAGACTTATACAATGAAAACTACAGAACCCTAAAGAGAGAAATAGAAGAAGATCTTAGAAGATGGAAAAATATACCCTGTTCATGGATAGGCAGAACTAACATCATCAAAATGGTGATATTACCAAAAGTTCTCTATAGGTTTAATGCAATGCCAATCAAAATCCCAACGGCATTTCTTGTAGAAATAGAGAAAGCAATCATGAAATTCATATGGAAAAATAAAAGACCCAGAATAGCAAAAACATTACTTAATACTTTTGTACAGTTTTCATTATTAAAAGAGATTTAACAGTCCAAAGCTCACATTATGTAACTTTTCTGTGCCTGTCCTGGTTGTCACCTCCTGCTTCCATGTTAACAGTCTAAGTTGTATTAAGGATAAAGGGCTAGGTTCTCTGGATTTGAGAAGCATTCAGAACTGTGGCAGTTTTCAGATTACAAGCTGATTCTGGTCTGGTTAAGCAAAGGATGAGCCTTAGATGAACAAGAGTCTCATTTAGTCCTTTGTGTCTAGCACTGCCCTTTCCCCAGCAGCACTGGAATGAGCACCTCCACACACACCATTACCACATTTCAGATTACCTTCCGCTGCCTGGTCGCTACAGAAAGGAATCCATGAGGGGAGCAGGCTTTTTTTCTTTTTTTAATTGTAGAGGGACACACAATATCTTTGTTTATTAATTTATTTTTTTAATGTGGTGCTGAGGATCAAACCCGAGCCTCACAGATGCTAGGCAAGCTCTCTCCCACTGACCTACAGCCCCAGCACCAGGAGCAAGCTTTTAATTCATCATGCTGAAATGGTTCACAGAACACCATACTCTTTCCATGGCCTCTGGCTAGGTGACCATTTCACCAGGCTTTACCTTTCAGTGCTAGCTCTGTGAAAATATTGCTTTGTAATATGACGGGATGTGTTAGACCTCTTTGAAAACCATCCAATATTATTTTTACGAGAACCTGTTGCCTTGGAGAGGGCAAGCAGGTAGGTGGATGCGTTTCAGTTCCAGTTTTGGTGTTTCAGTTCCCTGTTTTGGTGATGAATTGAAGGCATTCCTTGTATTGTGAAAAGTAAAATTATAAACCAAATAAAGAGAGTGGGAAGAAGAAGAGTTTCATTCCAGGCTGATAAGACTTGCAGTTAAGAGTCTACCCTAGTTCTAAGATTGTTGTCACATTGGAGTTCACCTGAATTCCCAAGGAACACACTCTTGACTTTAGGACCTTAGAAGTTGGCATGAAGAAAGAATTCACTCCAGCCTTACAGTTACCATAACTTAGTAGATAGGGCTCATAAATAGAAATCATATGATTAGAGTTGGTCTTTTAACAGAACCATGAGTCCCAGAAGGAACTTTAATATTCAGCTATTGTATTGTCACTGATTATATTAGTAAATATTACTAATGTTAACAATTTGGGATTGAAAACTATTTACATGATTATTTCTCAGGCACCATTTGATACTTCTATTCCTTGGCTCATAATTAATTCATTGGGTCTTATTTACTACAAAATGACTTTTATACTTACAAAATTCTGGTTCTAAGGTTCTATAAAGTGGACCCACAGTCTTTTCTAACTTATTTTATAGAATTCATAATTTTAATTTATAACTATAATTGTTCTTTGAGGTACCCAATTTGTTTCTACCTGGAAGTCTTTGTTCACTTTGTTCATCTTTTTTTTTTCTCTTAGAAGTATCTTTCTCCTTTCTTTTTCTCTCTCCAAATACTTCAAGATCCATCTAAAATAAGATTTCCGTGATTCTTATGGTAGTCAGCTTTGTTTTTGCTATGTCCAAAACCCCAACAAGAACAACTTACAGGGGAAAAAAAGGTTATTTTGGCTCACAATATCAGAGGTTCAGTCCCTTGCTGGGTCTGAGGTGAGGCAGAACATCATGGTGGAAGGTTATGGTGGAGGAAGGCTGCTCAGCTCCTGGTAGCCAGGAAGCAAAGGGTGGGCAGGGAAGATGTTCCTTTCCAGGGCACACCCTCCTGAGTCACTGGGACTACAGGTGTGGCCACTGTACGTGCCTCTCATAATTTTTAAGACATAATTTTGTTTAAAATCTCCTTCATATTTTTCTTTTGATAGAGTCAATATATACATGGGACCTTTAAAATTATAGTTCTAATGTCATAAGGAAAAGTAGAAATTTCTTTTAGTTCATGGTGGAGAAACAACGTATCTGAAAATCTCAATAATATTCATCATCTGAACAGTTTCTACAACCCTTTATATTATGATTAAGTTTTCAAAGCACTATCGTAATTTTTTTACTTTGTGACTTATATCACCATAGGGTGAATTAATTAACTCCATTTTACAAGTATCCTGGAAGGCCAAGTGATTTGAGGGAAATTGTGCAGCCACAATGGCAGAGCCAAGTGCAAACTCAATGATTTCCAACTCTTGAGCTATTTCTGTCCATAGATGAATCTCCTTGAGTTATGTTGGGCATAGAAATATTACCAAATACTTATCCTGTTCTGTTAGACTTAGTTCTGCAATTGCCTTAAAATAATTTCTATCCTTAAGTAAGCCTTCCATTCTGCAGTAAGTTTAATTCACTTTATATAAAAGGATTTATGTTTCATTCAGGGAAAAAAAACTACTGAGTGTTGATAATAGCTAAATTTATAACTGAGAAATCTAGGGTGGTGTTTAATGCTCACTCATGACTTTGTATTAAACCTAGCTGTGTACATGCATTTCAGTGATTGTTCCTGAAATAGAAACTGGTTAAGCGTTATAAAAGCACAGATTAGTTATATGCATACGGATATAGACCTAACTCATAAGGTTGGCTTAGGAATACACCATAAGTGCCTGGCTGCTAAAACATGCCCTCTTAGTTATGCATTAAGCACCTGGAAGCCAAGTGCTGATCCTTTCTCTTCACAGCCACATGGTCTTAGAAGCCCCAACACTTCTCTAAAATCCAGTCTGGCATAAAGTATTTGTGTTCCCAAGAATGAGAAATGAAATTGCCTTGAT